TCTGGGCCTGAAGTTGTCACTCGCCATTCAAAATTCCAGAAACAGAAGTCACGTTGGACCATTGGCAGATATTAACGGAGGACGCACCGCGAGAAAACTAAGTTCACAACTTTCCCCATTTTTCGAAACTTGTTCGCTATCTTCGCCGTCGGAGAAACGGGTGAAAACAGCCGACTTTTCTGGATCGGGAATCTGATAACTAAATATTTATTAAAGATTCTTCCAAATTAAATCTGATGAGCGTAATAAAACTAAATTCGATTTCAATTTATCAACTGAGCTAAAAATTGCATTAATCATTCTAACTATCTAAACACACCAGGCTTCCATAGTTAGTTCAAAAATCACTAAATCTTCGGCCTCTGGAAAAATTTGCTTTCTAAATAAAAATTTGGAGAGAAGAATTTTCATTAATAACATGCAAACCATTGCAAAACTTGAAACAATACAAAAATAAATAACAAAATTGCTGACTACTGACAAATCCATTAAAATTTAAAAGTTTTTTTTGTCATTTGAATTGTAGAGAGCAGGGTTGATTTTTTTCAGTTGAAGCAGAATATTGCTGTAAGTAACGTTTATCATTTTTAGGCAGAACGGAAATCTCCAAACTCATTTTTATCATTATACTTCATTATTTTGATTGATAGAAAATTAGATTGAAAGTCTAATTGTTGAGATCATTAGTTGACGATTTGTTCATCATTTCTATTTCTGGACTCAAAACCATATTGTTATTTATTTCATCGGAGTATATTTTTTCAAAGGTTGTTTAGACTATCAGGTGATGTCTCTTTCACGTTTTTTCACAATATCCCCCTCCCCCTATATATCTATTTATAATTATTTCTAAAACTTATTGTGTTGATATAAGGCTTAATCAACTTCTGATAATACCTGATGTCGATATTGTGAATTAAATTTATAGTATTTACTGAATTTAAAAACAGTCTCAAGCATATTTATTGTGCATTTTTTTCAAGAGCTGGAACAATAACTGATTTGCATCTCATGACTCTAGTACGTTAATTGAAAATTGAAATGTGAGTAGCGGCGTATAAGGGAAAATACTCAGGCAGTTTTTATCAGCATTAAGCACCACGCGCTTTTGAGTTTTTTGAAAAGTTCACACTTAATCAAAAAAATTTGAGACTTAAGATAGCCGATTGCAGTGCATGTAGCAATCGGCTATCGTTTTTTCAAAATAGTGTTATTTCTGGTCTATTAGAGAACAGCATGAAAGCAAACAGCGATAGTGCATAAAACACAATCGACATTTTTCTTAAGTTTTTATTGCCATGAGGAGCTTAAATAATGTTTACAAAACTAGTTTTCCCGCAGTAACAATGAGAAATTTACTCTAATTTCGAGCAAGTAAAGACCTACTCGCTCGCTTGACTCGTTCGAAAATAGACTAAAAGTTTGAAAATTCATAGCGGTTTTTCTCGACACTGAGACAAATTTTCAAGTTTTTGAGAATCGCTCGAATCATGAATGAGAGGGCTTTAGTAAATCATATCAATCGACTAGTTCCGATCATTTTTTGAGGCACCCGATTATGCGTGAAAAACAAAAAAAAACAAAAAAGGCAGAAAAAAGATTTTAAAAAAGGAGTTCAAAGCCTCCGCACTGAACAATTTGGGAACTCTAATTTGAATGCCAGTCATTTTACCATCCCTTAACCAAATTTAGGCGTAAGTAATCGATTAAAAAGGATTTTGATGATTTTTTGACAATTATAATTGATTATAATTATCAAAATTAGGTCTTTAAAGGATTTATAACCGATTATAACCCTGATATTTTCCAAGAAATTGTAATAGTTCCAACAGAAAATCCCTTATAATCGAAATTCTTATCATGGGAGCGGCCGTAATTAATTAGTATGACTGATGCTATTCCTGGTAATTTCTCGAGAAACTACCTTTTTTCGGTTTTTTGTTTCTACATACCATATTCATTTTTTCTGATTTCCAAAAAATTGTTTTTCAAACGGTAGTTAGAATCGATTATAATGAATTATAATCGCATGAAAATATATCATCAAAAATAAACGATTGTAATTGATTAAAATCGATTGTTATATTTCTAAATTTAGTATATTTTTGTATTGAAAGCAAGAGATTATAATCGATTATTAACTGATTATGTTTTTTTTTCACAATTTCAGTAGGACAGCTACTGAAATCGTAATGTAATCGATTCTTAACTCTTCAAACTGGGTGCGGGAAGCTCGAAGTTTTAGTCGAAAATTAGCTGCGTAGTGTCCTCTAATTTCATGAAGGTAAAAATCGATGAAATATGTTCGACCTATAAGCTTTGAACTATATAAGATCATGCTAAACAAAACGATTTCGTAAAAGATTGAAATTCCAAGTGAACTAGATTTCAGAATTCGGTTATCGGTATAAGCAATTTTAAATGTTCAATTTATTATCCATTTTCAACAACTTTTGCATTTTTTTAAATCTCCATTGAACCAATAACCGTTATGCATATAAACTCCAGCTGTTATAAGCTCTCCGGTGTATCGCCGCTCCTTAAATAACGAGCCGGCACAGTTTCCGGGTCTTTTGGATCAAATGTATATTCAAATTCCACATTCTCAAATTCTGAGGAATTCTGGGCCTGAAGTTGTCACTCGCCATTCAAAATTCCAGAAACAGAAGTCACGTTGGACCATTGGCAGATATTAACGGAGGACGCACCGCGAGAAAACTAAGTTCACAACTTTCCCCATTTTTCGAAACTTGTTCGCTATCTTCGCCGTCGGAGAAACGGGTGAAAACAGCCGACTTTTCTGGATCGGGAATCTGATAACTAAATATTTATTAAAGATTCTTCCAAATTAAATCTGATGAGCGTAATAAAACTAAATTCGATTTCAATTTATCAACTGAGCTAAAAATTGCATTAATCATTCTAACTATCTAAACACACCAGGCTTCCATAGTTAGTTCAAAAATCACTAAATCTTCGGCCTCTGGAAAAATTTGCTTTCTAAATAAAAATTTGGAGAGAAGAATTTTCATTAATAACATGCAAACCATTGCAAAACTTGAAACAATACAAAAATAAATAACAAAATTGCTGACTACTGACAAATCCATTAAAATTTAAAAGTTTTTTTTGTCATTTGAATTGTAGAGAGCAGGGTTGATTTTTTTCAGTTGAAGCAGAATATTGCTGTAAGTAACGTTTATCATTTTTAGGCAGAACGGAAATCTCCAAACTCATTTTTATCATTATACTTCATTATTTTGATTGATAGAAAATTAGATTGAAAGTCTAATTGTTGAGATCATTAGTTGACGATTTGTTCATCATTTCTATTTCTGGACTCAAAACCATATTGTTATTTATTTCATCGGAGTATATTTTTTCAAAGGTTGTTTAGACTATCAGGTGATGTCTCTTTCACGTTTTTTCACAATATCCCCCTCCCCCTATATATCTATTTATAATTATTTCTAAAACTTATTGTGTTGATATAAGGCTTAATCAACTTCTGATAATACCTGATGTCGATATTGTGAATTAAATTTATAGGTTTGATAAATTTGTACCAGTTTGAAAGAAAAAAAAGAATATACAAATTTCATAAAAGATTTTTGAATTTGTTGTTTGAATCTTGTTGTTTTTGGATTCATTTTAAATCTTGTTTTTGGATTCATTTATGTGAGTTCACTCAAGTAAATAAGTGGATGAATTGGAGTGCGTCATCGTTAACTAATTAATGGCTGGAGTTTCTAATTTTGGTTTCAGCAGAGCATCGCACAGTTTTTATTTTAAAAAAAGGTCAAAAACTTGCGTCAATCCCTTTGAAGAAATTCAATAGCTCAGCAATCGATTAAAGCGTTGTTGTGAAGTATAATAATACAGCTTATGTAGCCATTGGTCAAGGCAAATTTTGAACTTTGAATTGAGAACAGGATTTTGGAAAAAAAATCTACCAACTGTGGTGAGAAAACATTTTCTTCTTTTTTTTAAATTTAAGAAGATCTGTCAAAAGCCTTCTAGTTTTTGACAGATCTTCTGCTAAGTGCAGAAGTTAACAAAAAAATGTTTAATGCAAATAGCACAGAGGGTTCCGATCGCAGTTATTTTTGCACAAAAAAAATGAAATTGTTTGTCTTATACTAATTTTTTTGTGCGTGCAGCAGAGTTAGAGTCATAAAGTTTGCTCAGAACAAAGTATTCTTGTTTTATTAACATATAATGAAACAAATTCAGTCAATTTCACTAGTCTACCCAGGAGAAGTTGCACTTTCGCAAACAAAACAGAAACACAGCAAAAGGAAGATTGAAAAAGCCACAAAAAAAACAAAAAAATTAGCTAGCAAGAAATTAAAAAAGCCACTGACGGGATTCTGGAATAGGAATCTTGTATCTTGACAACTGCGCCGTATCACCTTCTTGTCATCAAAAAATTACACACAGTAAGTACCAGGCACTAATGAATGCACTTCAACTTAGAGATAAAGCACAATCTTAAAACGCCCAATTGGAAAAGAGCAGTACACTGATAGTAAAATTACTGAAAATCAGTGTGTATTTGCGTCCAATGCACTTTTAGAAAATTTTTAGGGTTGGTTTTTACTCATGTGTAAATATAGCTCTTGTTCAAAAATCGGCTCTTTTCCAGTCCCCCCCCCCTTCAAATTCACTTTCGAAAAGTCTATTTAACGTTGTCATAATGCAATGAAATTTGGCGTGGTGAACAAATCGACAATTCTGAACAGATTTGTTCTTCATACTTTACAGCGTAACATCACGCGTTTAGCCGTAATAACACGTAAAACGAACAAAAAAACTCGGTATTCTGAAAGGGGGGGAACTGGAAAAGAGCCCAAAAATCAGCTTTTAGACTCCATAAAAAGAACAATTAGCAAGCCAGTTAGTCTAACACAAAGAAAATAACTTTAAACTTCGCTTGGATGTAAGAAAAGACAAGTCCTAAAAACATATATTTCAATCTAAATTAGTTTAAATCCCTTTCGCTCATCCAAATTTGATGAGTTAATACTCAACAGTTTTCTAATCTTAAGTGAGTTTAGTAGAGAACGTTTTCAACATTAACATTTATTTTTTAAAAAAGGGTTTAGTTAGCTTACAAAGAACCACAAATTTAGAGTTTTATGCAAACTCTACATCGACTTATTAACTCTCTAGCTTCCTTTTCTGTAAATGTGAACATTTCGGCGGGAGCTGCGAGGTTTCGGGAGGCATCGGTGGCCATGAGCCAGAAGGAGAGAGAAGTGGCGAAGTTGTTACAGGTTCCCTTGGCGTGACATTCGAGGAATGGAGTTGCCCGGTAGGAATCCAGACAGGATCCGGGCGACTCAAGACTACTTCCGGCACCCTCGCCCCCAGCTCCAGTCTCCTAAATATAGCCACCAGACAATTGGAAAAGTGTCAATAAACGCAAGGAAACCGAAAAAGTTGAATGGCTTCTAAAAAATCTACTTTCGAATTTCAACAAAAAAAAATACATGGAAAACAGAACATGATTGACAAGAACAAAATAAACCAAATCGAGAAAACTCCATTAGTAGGTAAATTTTTCATTCCGCTGGAAATCTAAAATATAAAATCCACTTATGAGACTAGAAGTCGTTCACGTTTTTTTGCGCCATTAGAAGTTTTGTTAATGGAGAGCAAATTAACCTTCCTTTTAGCACACATCAAAAGTCAAGCCACGAAAAATTTTCAAAAAAAAAGAGAAAAAAATGAATCCAACAGCTTTCCAATAGTGGTTAAATCATGATGGAGATCAGAAGCACAAAACTTACCATCAAGTAACTGAATCCGGTCCATAATGAACCCCAGCCCCTCGGACATTCAGGGTACTCCTTATTTTGACTATGCACTGCAAAGACCGGCTTGGGCGCCTCACATACTGTACATCTACTGATGTAATCGGTCATTGACCCCACGTCAATGGACTGACTAGTCGGTATCGACTGCTCAGATCTCAGCCAGTAAGTGAAATCATTTCGCAAGGCCACATTGCACTTTTTGTTCACGTCACAGCTCATAAACAGGATAGGCTGTAGTTTGTTCAGACAACTTCCGGGCGACCCTAGATCTTGTCCGTACGATTTTCCGTTGCCCTGAAAAAATTCAGATATATCATGACAGAAGCAATGGAGGTTAGTATCTGCTTCGGCTGTTACATTAAAGCCGCAAACTTTAATTGTCGTTTAAGATCAAAACAAATGTAGGTTTAACACAGAACGGATCAGTAATAACATTGGTTTATTGAACTAAAATATGTTTGAAACTTTATTGCACCAAGTGATCTGAAAACATGATAACTAAAACAGCAACATTTCGACCAACTGTTTGAAAAATATCTCTCGTGGAAGAAATAAAGAACCATTCCTGCCTGAATATATAAAATTGAGTATCCTGAGTATATCTGGTTAGTTCCAGTGGGGCACACTGGGTCAATTGTGGTCTGACTGTGTCTGGTGAGAAGAAACCCACTTATCGAACTCTGCAACCCTGGCGGACCTGGTAAGCCACGCATTCCAGAAGAACCAGGAGGACCCAGGGGACCTATAACCAAAAAGCTACGGTTACAATTGCTACACAAACAGACAGCAGATATTTGGAAAAGAATCACTGAGCGCAATGGACCGAAAAAAATAATCGATTTTTTAAAAGAAATTTGAAATTTCCAGTTTCAAATAAAAAATAAATCAAACTAAAGATATTTGATATTCCAGAATGTTTTGAGGAAACTAACCCAATTTGAAAAAATCAGAATTTCTCGCGAAATCTTTTTCTTGAAAAAAAAAACGAAAACAAAAACTGCACGACCTAAAAAAGTGTTTTCAATTCGTTCATTGAAGCTTAATAAAACATTTAATAGAAGTGCAATCTTAATTCAACCTAAATAACGAGTAAACCTTCTTTCCAAATTTGAAATATTGCTCTCCATGGGAACTTATACAAGATCATTTGCTCGCATTAGAAAATTTTTCGTTAATGCTTTTCATTTTTTCGCTTTTTGGGTTTATACTTTGATGAGATCAAAAACTCGGCATTCACTTAAATAAAAATACACATCCCAAATGAATTTCATGATTCTATCACAAAACGATTTTGAATGATAACATTACTTCTTCGGCTCATTATTACTTCGACGAGATGATCCATTTTTGAATCCATTTAAACCCTATGTGATGATTAGTGCGTAGCAGCACATATTAGCCTATTCTAACTTACCCTACTCCATATAATCCTATGCCATTTTAAGATTGGACATAATCACAATTAACTAAGTTTATTCGCAATTTCACAGGTTTTAAAGTAAAACTACGTAAGACAGTGTTGTGATTTGTTTTTAGCAGTTTTAAATGACCTTCGGTATTTAATTAAATACCAGTTAACTTAGTTCGATACGACCACCGGTCGATCGTAGAGTGTTCGTTCCGCTGTCCTTTTAGAACGTTTTAAATTAACACACACTATTTTATCCGCTTTACCTTTTTAGGTATTTGTACATTAGTTGTACATAGCTCGTAGTATTAGAAGACTTTAATATGGCGCAGTCTAATGATTCGAACGTGCGTGGAATCCCCCCTTCTGGCCTAACCACACCTTAGAACCACCGCATGCCTGGACCCAATGGAGCGACCAATTTCAATTGGCGATTATTGCAAAGGAAAATCTGGACATAGAGAGCCTACACGGACCAGAAGTTCCAGAAACGCAAATCCCCATTTTGGAACAAGATACAGGAAGCGAGTCGGACACGCAGCAGAGAGACGAGGAACAGAAACGCAATGAATCAGTACAAAGCCGCCGAAAAAAAGCGGATCAACGAGGAGAAAAAGAAATTTAACGGAATGAGACAGAGGATGCGGATAAGAAACTGCGCTCAATTTTATTCCTAGCCCTAGGGAGCGAAGGAAAAGGAGTCTTCACGCAAAAGAACCCGAGGGTCAAGATTTTAGCAATCTCCTTCACAGAGTTCTGGACCTTACTTGATGCAGCATGCAACAAATCGCCCAACTTAACGTACGAGAGGTATAAATTACTCAACCGCAAACAGAAAGACCGGGAACCCTATAAGCAATTCTGGGGAGCTCTAACGGACTTGGCGAGTACGTGTAATATAGAGGAAAATGACGAGGCGGAATGGATAAGGGATGTTTTCATTTGCAACATGAGAAAGACAGACACCCAAAGGAAAGTACTTTCAGCCACAATAAGTCCGACAGAAGCACATAACCAAGCCTTGATTGATGAAAAGGGATATTTTAATCACCAAAAAATGACAAATTTGGCACGATCATCGACCATTGGTACAACTTTTAAATCTTTTAACAATTATAATCAGATTAAGAAGGAACCAAGCCTCAATATAGAACGTAGCAACACGTGCATGAAATGTGGGAATCCATTTACGAAAGGGCACCTAAACGTATGCCCAGCGAAGGACTTAACTTTTAAAAATTACAAAAGTCACATCGCCAAATTATGTAAATCCCGTAACAAAGGACCCACTGTAAATACTGTAAGTGATAATTAGGTAAATACTGAGCATTGTACATACGTCTCTCCGGAAAGCTCGTGGGGCGAAAATCAAGAATCGTGTGACGTGATAAACGCCTGGAACGAATACGGGCAGAGCGACGATGACTACTTCTCAGTACTGAGCGTGAGAACAATTTACGATAAAAACGGACTTGAAAGTAAAAAACTTCTGCAACATAAGCCTGGTTTGGGAGATGATTGTAAATATGAACATACCAGTAGACTCAGCAAGCCCTGTAAGTTTTTTAAAACAAAACGTGTTGCACGAGATCAAACTAAGATACCCGAACCTAAAAATAACCCAGTGGAGAAGCGGATTAAAGACTTGTGTTGTGGCTTTACTGACGCTACGATCAACATCTTAGGAAAAATCATCGTGAGGACACAATCCAATGGGTGGATCAGCGAAGAAACACAGTTCTTCATAACAGGTGGCCATGAACGAATTGACAATCTACCCAAGTTAGGCATAGAAGTGACCTAGAAGAAATGCCCCCGGCCTATCTGCATGGTCAACCAACCACCATTTGAGAGTAAGTGCATAAATCGGCATTCTTTTAATGACGAAATCTTTAGCGAGTTCAAAGAATTATTCACCAGAGTGGGGAAAATACCCAACAACCACAAAGTAACCCATTTTCACATACCATACAAACCAGTACAAGCAAAAGGGAGAAGAGTTCCCCTTCACTTACTCGCAGGGGTAAATGAAGAACTGAAAAGAATGGATACGGAAGGTCACATAATAAAACTAGAAAAGTGCGACGAAGATTGCTTTATCAGCCCAATGTTGATTACACGGAAGAAAGACGGTTCAATTAAATTGGCATTAGATTCTAAATTATTAAACGATCAGATTTTAAAAAATAAGTACCAAATGCCAAATATTCACGAACTCATAGACAACGTGGCCCTACAATTTTCAGAGAAATCTAACGGACAAGTTTGGTTCAGCAACTTAGATCTGAAAAACGCTTACAGTCAACTCAAATTGTGCGACCAAATGAGCAAACAGTGTAATTTTAGTATAGTAGGTGGTGAAACAACTGGAACGTATTGATTTTTAACTGGATTTTATGGATTGGGAGACATGCCCAACGAATTCCAACGGGTCATGGACTCACTTTTAAAGAACATACCGTTCACAACCTGTTATATAGACGACATTCTGGTAGCTTCCAGGGGATCGTTGGAAGAACATAAAGCAATAGTCTATAAAGTTTTAACAATCCTAGATAAGAACAGTTTGGCGGTGAAATGGGGGAAGTGTGCATTTTTCAAATCAGAAATAGAATGGCTAGGCTTCAAAATCTCCGGCGAGGGAGTACAACCTAGTCGGTAAAGCAGACGCCATTAAGAATTTACCAATCCCTAAGAACATTTCGGAACTGCGATCGTTCTTCGGCTCGATAAATCAGTATGTGAAATTCGGCCCGAGTTTATCTACCCTAAGCTCTCCATTACGTCCCCTACTGAATAAAAAAACTGCATATAAATAGGATAAAATTCATTCTTCAGCCTTCGAAAAACTAAAATCCGAAATTGTAAATATCACAGAAAACAGCCACTTCGACAAAAAAGAAAAAACTATGTTGAAAACGGACGCTTCGCACAGCGGACTAGGTGTGACTCTAGAACAGTTACAAGGGGACCAGAGGAAAACGATTGCTTTCGCCTCAAGATTTTTGAATAATCATGAAATGAAGTATTCCACGAATGAATTAGAGTACTGGGCGTAGTATGGGCCTCTAAAAATTTCAGGAATTTCCTCTAAGGGACAGAATTCCAAATCGTAACGGATCTTAAAGCCCTACTTTCCGCATTTTCGGCAAACCACGGGAATAATACCATGCATAGCCGACTGACCCGCTGGGTAAACAGACTATTTCCTTTCAATTTTAAAACATCCCATATACCAGGAAAAAATATGAGTTTTACCGATCTTTATCAAGATTACCTTCGGGCAAAGTCCTCCCAAATTCTTATTATGACGAAGAATTTGTAGTCGCTTCAATCGACAAAATTCAGAACATCAGATTTAATAGAACACACCTTAACTCTTTAGATGTAAATATTGTAGATAGACGGCCGGTCGCTGTAAATACTAATACTCTCGTTAATAGTAATATCCCGTCGGGAGTAGAAAATTCAAGCGACGTGATTGGTCAAGATTTTTCAAATAGCTCTTTAGCTAATTTGAAACTCCAAATTATTGTCGCTATTATATTTTGTATTGCTCGGTCAATAAAAATCTGTGATTATTCTCACACTCGAACAGAAAATTGTACGTCGAAGTGCCTACCTATCGATAATTCTAAATTCAATTTTAAGAGCATCACTTTCTCGGATAAGGTTTTTTACATTTCATTCTTAAAGACAAACAATTTTTTACCACAATTCAAAAAGAAAGCCGATTTTATGAAAATGGAACAAATTACCGGCCCTTCATTAATAATTTCAGAAGAACATAACCTTGCCCTTAAATTTAAAGACGACCAACTTCCGGACGACCACGCAAATCTAGTCAAGAGGTACAAATCAGATTCAAATTTACCAACGTCTCCTATACTTCACGAAAACCACTGTTCAAAGAAACTACTTCAACTAATGACTAGGGAAGACAAAGTGTTATGGGACTTGACCGAGACAATAAAGACGAATCGACCAATGGGCATCCACGGAACTTACATGAAAAATTTTGCTAAAGACCTCCACGTGAAAAATGGCCTACCATTTCTTGACAACAAACTAGTCGTACCAGCTACCATCAGGGGAACGTTCAATACTATGCTTCACGAGACCCACCCAGGACAGTTTTGAATGAAGTCTCTCGCAGAATATACGTGATGGCCGCACATCTATCGAGAGATTTACCACCACCACGGGAAGTCCTGTAGCCATTGCCTTAAAGCTGGTAAGAACCTCAAAGTTTTGCTAGGTACCGACAATATTATAAAACTTCCGACTTTGACCTTTGCTAATGAAGAAATAAATCTGGATTTCGCAGAACCGTTGGACACGTTCTGGAGAAAACAAAAATTCATTCTTCTAAGTATCGACCGGTTCACTAAATTCCCATCGGCCAAGATCGTAAATAACACTTCCGCGAACAGTGTGATTTCTTTCTTAAACGACTATTGTCACCTTCACGGTTTTCCAAGGAAGATCAGAGTCGACCATGGGTCTTGCTTTTTATCTCACGATTTTAAAAAATTCTGCGAAAAATTCAACATCGAGATCATTAATTGTACAGTCGGCGACCATAGATCCAATGGGCTGCTGGAAAGATTAGTTCATACGATAAAAATTAAGTTACTGGCAATGTCATTCGAGTTACCGAAACCCACTCTAAATTCGATGAAGAGAAGGACAGCCCATCGGACCCAGAAGACACCTTGCCGCTAGCGCAAACAATCACGAGCGCAACCACACCAGAGGGTCACAAACAGTCTAGAGGGTCTGCCACAAAGAAGAAATTAGTTGCTGGAGGTAAATTATATAGAAGGGCTACCAACAGGAAAAACGAGGAACCTTATTTTAACTTAGTAAAGAAGGATATCATTGACTCTTCAGACCATACGATACCACTCGATAACGATCATAATTTACGAAAATCAGATTTGGCAATTAAAGGAAAACTACTCCCCGGCCCCAATAAAATCGTGGTGAACCAACCGTCCATCGGGCACAAGTCAAACTTCCATTCAAGTTTAGCCGGAAAGAGGAAGCTATCTCCCCCAAAGAAGACTTCACCTCAGCCAAGGCAGGGCACCTCAGGAGCGGGCGGATCAACGCAGAGGTCAGATTCACAAACAGACGTAGAGGCAACCAAAGACCTCATCCAGATCTCTTCAGGTTCTTCGTCATCCTTGAAGTTAAACTCTTGGGACGGGATTATAGACGATTATTTCGACGACGTGACTAATAATAACCTACCGCCAAGCCACCAATCCCAGTCTAATCAAGGGTTAAGTGTTACAGGTGATGCCCACTCTCCTCAATTGAGACCAAATCTATTAGTTAATACGGACCAACGGGCGATTAAAGAAATACCAGAATCTGCCGAGATAGAATGTTCGGAGAGTAATCCAATCACGCTAGGCAGTGCCCCAGAAACTGTGGTCCTATCAAACCCACAACCAAGACACGCAGGACCGCACAGGAACGTCGGACCCCCCAAATTTTTCGGAGATCGTCGATTTATTGACGTAGTGCTCGAAAAAGATGACCAGCCGACATTTCCATCACAGATGGACATTGCCAATCAACCCAGAGCAACATTCGTGATTACCTCACCGTCGAACATGTTGACACCGTTAGCGAAGGCTCCACCAGTACGAACCCTGGTCGCAGAAACCACACTTACTTGGTCATCTAAGAAATCGTGCCCATCGGACAGACCAAATTATACGCCAATTATGTGACTTTTTAAAAGCACCTCTTCAGGATCGGACTCTTCATTCCAACCGACTACCAATGACACACTTGACGAGGTAGAGAAATCGAGAGAAATATCCTCGACCATCGACTAAGAAGTAAAAGCTAAATTAGATGATTTCGACGAAAAAATTAACTGACTTCACAAAACTCAAAAAAAAACATAACCATTCTTTAAATCATCGTATAGTACTCTTAATTGATCATTTACTGTAGATAACGTTGTACATGTCAACTGTACATCTTGTAGATTAATGTTTTTCTTTTATTCTTAATTTAGTTAATTTGTTTTTATCCCAACTTCTGTATAACTGTAAATTCTGTATGTTCACCCTGTACATTTGTACCTTCCTATTTTCATTTGTAAATACTATTGATACTATTTTGCTTGCTGTACTATTTTTTTTGTGGCGCAGTTTGTAAAATTTTTTTCCTACTTTGAAGTGGGAAAATGGGTGTATCTAGAAGTAGTTAGTGATTTTGTAGTTTTATTTTTTTTCCCGGTGGGAAATGTGATTTGTTTTTAGCTGTTTTAAATGAACTTCGGTTTTTAATTAAATACCAGTTAACTTAGTTCGATACGACCACCGGTCGATCGTAGAGTGTTCGTTCAGTTGTCCTTTTAGAACTTTTTAAATTAACACACTCTATTTTATCCGTTTTACCTTTTTAAGTATTTGTACATTAGTTGTACATAGCTCGTAGTATTAGAACACTTTATTAGACAGGGTAGAGGATAGGGTCTTCAAATACACTGTTTTAAATATTATGACTGTAAGGTAGAAGGGGCGTGGCATAAATTGGAACATATGGTGGAAAGGCATATGATGAAATGGTATTGGGTAGAAAGGAACAAGACTGCTCGTATCAGGACAAAGGACCTGAATTTTCCGACTGTCCATTAAATGGTCTTTAAAAGTTTTTGGTTAATGAAAATTTGACAAACTATAAATTTAAGGCTGAGTTGAAATTTGAGTGGCGTATGGAATTAATATGACCAATTAGCTTGACTATATTCAATTTGGAACAATTTTGTGGTTCGCGATAACTTACACTTTCAGCACCAAAGTATAAAACGTACAAATTAGTAAGACTCATTAAGCAGCGACTCTATGTACAGTCAATTTAGTATAGCGGTAAGCACGACTCTTCGGAGAACACGAAGCTCAGTAGATCGATCACCTGAGCGCTCATTTGAAATATGGTCTGAATAAAAAAAAACCCGAGCATATATATTCCTGACTTTCTTCGATAGTCGGAATATTCATGTCAAAACGGAGCTTCGCATCACTTGCGACTAACATAAGACTCTAATATGGTAGACAAAAATGAGACGAACGCCGTTGAAACAATAATTTTTTTTCAAAAAAACGTCGAAAAAAACTACATCTACAGATACTTAAGACATCTATCGCGAATGAAATTAACTTAGAGGAAAACATGTCCAGAAATGCAATCTCCAGCGTTAAAAAGGATTTACAAAAAAATGTCGAGCGACAACCAAGCCCGCAATACATGAGTAGACCACAGGTTGCCAAAATTCTGCAATCGAAATATGGACCAGACATCGAAGTACGAAAATTGAGTTTTTTATGAACTTTATATCTACGAAAATATTATAAAGACCCGATTTTAGAACAATAGAAAACCAAGGTCGGCAATCTTATGAAATACAGGAAAAAATATAAATGACTAAAACATACTGAAAACTTGCTTACAATAAACATCCGACATGATTCAATAATTCCGTTAGAAAAGTTATTTTTGCGGAAACAAGTAAATGCTTTGGTTCCATAACGCTTGTCTGTCACAAGGGTAATAAAAACAAGAATTTAAACACAATAAAATCCTAAAGTTAGGCACAATTTTTTGGAAATTGACTTTAACTACCAAAATTAGGCATGGTTCCAAAATTGACACAAATTACCTGCCATTCCCATTGCACCAGATGGCCCAACTTCGCCTTTCAGTCCAGGGTAGCCTCGAGCACCCACGGACCCTGGAGCCCCGATCCGTCCCTGGATGCCAGGAGATCCCGGTACTCCTCTGTCGCCTTTGGGACCCATGGGTCCGGGTACCCCTGGAAATCCGCGGTCCCCTGAAAATAGGGTATTATCTGTCAGTTTAATTTTGTTTTAGTACAAAAATATCATTATCAAAATCTGTTCTCACAACAATGTTAATTTTTTCAATTCTCAAGTCTCCCTGAAACTACATTGATAAACACAAGCACTTGAGACTACAATAAAAATTGCTTACAGCACACGCAGAATTGATGTGGCAACTAAACCGACAACACTTGAGCAGACAAACAAAAGTCCGGCAATTCAACTTAGTTCCCGATAACAAGACACTTCCTCTAGCAAGTGTAATTATGTGGACTTAGTATCGTACGCTTTCCGTACTATCCTTCTTGCTTCATTTAATGATCCATTTCTTTTTCTACGCCCCACCTGAACACAGAGGCGAAGCTGTGCTTCGCAAACGCCAGCGAGAAAACGAAAAAAAGCAGATTTAATAAGAAAAATAAGAAAAGGTAGAAATTAGCCTCGAATTAATTAAATTCTGCCGTATGTCGGATTGCAACCAATCTGTAACATCGAGATTAGGAGTCTTAAGTTCTCGCATCAGCGCTACTGTAATTTCGCTAGCACTAACTAGCCCTCAATTACGCAGCTATAGATGCTAATAAATTGTCAAAAATATGCAGCAAAAATGCCACCAAATATAATTGTCGCGTATCTCAAAAAAAAATATTCTACAAATCAGCAAGAAACAAACTCAAAATATAAACAAACCGATAGTACTGTCTGATTTCAACTGGAGTATTATCTTTGACTGCAATGCAAAAACGAGCTCAGAACACAAGCGCGGAAATCATGCTTAGTTTACACACTAAGGCGAAGCGGAGCTCCTCAACACTTGTGATACAATTAAAACAAGGCATTACTAAATATTGAATAAAAGGAATTTTTTTTTGCAAAACAATTAAGCTAAAAATATAACCTGAAAAAATCAAAAAAACTATCTGCAAAAACTTCTAACCTTTGTCTCGGACGATGTTCGTAAACAACCTGAAAAAGCATTGGGAATCAAAGACTAAGCAGCAACTAAGGTGGAAAAATTTGGGTCGAACCTCGTTAGGCCGAAAACGAAAATGTAGACAGAAAACATAATCAAGCAAAAAATGTATGTAAAATTTGAACGACCCGCCCCTGCTAAAACAGGCAAAAACAATTCGCCCATGAGCATGCGCAGCATTAGTTGACCAGCAATACAAACAAGGCATTGCGTTACAAGATATTGAACAGACAAAAAAAGGAAGTCTTTAGAAATTAAGCAGAAAAAAAAACTCGAAAAAGCCCAAAAAACTCTATCTATCAATTATTCATAACTTTGTATTTGACGGTGTTTATAAACAGGCTCTGCAAGCCTTGAGAACCTATTGCCAAGTGGCAACTAAGGCAAAAAACTTGGGTCAACCCTCATTAAGCCAAAAACGGAACTAGACAAAAAATTTTAGCTTTCGTTTTTTTAAGAACAATTTTTTCAACCCATCCCTCCTAATCAGACAAAAGCATTAAACACAAATCTCCTATGAACCTGCGCAACATAAATTGACTTTCGATACAATTAAAACTTTGGTTTACAAGATATTGAATAGAAAAAAGGAAGTCTTTTTTTTCAAAAAAAAATAATCAAACTGGAAAAACAACCTGAAAAAAGTCGAAAAACCAGACAAGTTGCTTATCTAGAAAAATTTACATAAGAAAATCTGCTTATCTGCAAAAATTTCACACCTGTGTCTCGGACGATGTTCATAAACAGCCCTAACAAGCAATTCTGCTATGCTACAGACTTAGATTATAGCAAAACTGCCACCAGATAAGTGATACGTGAACACTTTTATTTGTGATTTAGGTCAGAAAAAAAGGTTCGTACTAATACACTAACACTCGCAAGCTTGCTAATGTAAAAATCAATGACCGAGCGACAACTTAAACGAATTTTGCACCGACCTTTGGGAAATTTGGGTCGAACTTCGTTAAGACGAAAACGAAACTCTAGGCAAACTATTCTAGTTATGAATTTTTTTTTTCAAATTTAAGACCATCCCTCCTTGAACAGGCAAGAAACATTTAAAACAAATTGGCTACCAAACTGCTCAACATTAGTTGACTCTGCCGATATTAGAAACGCCGAACCCGTTGAATCAAAAAATAAATAAAATTATAAAAAATCAGAGTTGGTAAATTCTCAAACTAAAGAGCAACTTTCAATTACATTAAAAACTATTTGCAGCAAAACTTCAAAAATCGCAACTTTCCATTTTCAAGATATTGAGTATTTCAGCCTTTCAGCAAGTCAGAATTGAACATGTCGGCAGAAAATTTAACAAAAGTTGCTTACGGTAAAAAATCTAGTTCCCAGTTACAGGTCATGATGAAAAAACCTGATTTTCTAGTTTTGTTCGTTTTTTTTTCAAATCAAACAAACAATCGCACAATTTTCAGTTACACGAGCAAAAAAGAAACAAGCAAAAATATTTCAACAAAAAATGAAAAAACAGAATTCTCAAGATAAATGTTACACGTTTTCAAAATAATTCAAAATCAAAAAACTAATTTTTATTGAAAATGCGGAGTAAAATCAAATAAAGCAAGAACCAGGAGAATAGCAACAAGACAAGAAGGAAGCATGTTAATTCGGAAAACAATAAGGCCAATAATTATAGCCGATTGAAATTCAAAAAGTAAGAAAATAGATCGGACAAACAAGTACAGAAAAAGGAAGAAACATACAAAGTAGGCACACCATTGAATCATTTCTGAAAAATAATGGAGCCGAAAAGAAATATGTATAATTTGGACTTAAAAACGAAACAAATTAAATGAAGAAGTTCAAGAAATCGAAATGCAGAGCTAGAGGAATGTAACATGTGTATAAAGAAAAAAGCTGAAAAGGTCACAAAAGACATTTCAAAACAATAATGTCTTCTCACATTTTGAGTTAAAAATAGTCATACTTTTTCGAAAAAAAGTTTGATTTGATCGCATTTCAGATTACTTAGTCACCAATAGACCAAATAACACGCTTTAGTCACCAATTTACCAAATAATACACACTTTAAACAGCCCAGGGTTAAAAGCAACGAAATCAATTTAAAAAAGTTCAGACGAAAGAAAATAAGCAAAAAAATAAATCATAAGCAAAATATTCTGAAACAAGCTAAACATGACAAAAAAACATTTAAAACAATTTTTTAAAAAATTGCCGACATTTTTTTTTCATTTTCTAAGAAAAGGTCTGTAGAGTTAATTTAAAAACCTCAAAAGATAGCTAACAGAAAGAGTCAAAGACATCGAAAACAAATACTGACTTATTTTTGAAAAACTTATATTTTCCAAATTTCATAATCAAAATATATGGCCTTAAAACTCTTCAAATTTCAAAAACAATTTCTGATAGACACTTTTTGATAAAAATTAACGCACTTTGAGAAAACTGGGTCAATCGTTTTGATTTTTTATTCCGTTGAGAAATCTGAAAACTAAATTCCACTTTCGAAACTAGAAATCGATCACGTTTTTAGTGACCTTTACACTTTAGCTGTTCGATAGTGGAGTTTGCCTTCCTTTCAACAAAGAAAAGAAAAAGCACTTAAAAAGACATCAAAAGAAAATCGCTAAAAACCAAATTTGAGCGTGAACAATTTTTAAGACTTTTTCCTGAAATAAAAACCAAAAAAATCACCAAGTCCTATATAAGAGTAATCATTACAATCATGACTCTCAATCCTAAAAAATTTATCATGTTCAAAAATTTTGACCGAAAATTGCAAGAAACAAACATTGCAGGCAAACAAACCGACAGAATGAAACCGGAAACCAAATAACCCGAAATTCTACTGAAAATTGATGGCAAAGAAAACCATTCACAATGCAAGGACGCCTGCAACGCACAACAAAATACCATGCATGTACAACCTATACATCATCTCCGAGGACACCTGAGAAAAGTTGCACAAGCTAACTTTCGCAAATCGGTTAGCAAAGTTTTTAATTGGGTTCTAGCTCACCTTTGGGTCCTTCACTCGCGGGTTCTCCTTTTGTTCCCTTTGTGCCAGGGTATCCAGCGATACCCGAGTTACCAGGCATTCCGGGGAGACCCCTGTCGCCCTGGACACCTGGTAGACCGTCAGATCCAGGAGTTCCATATCCTGCGGGTCCGATCGCTCCTTTGGCCCCTGGATATCCCAGATCTCCCTAATTGGAATATTAATCGTAACAGGATCACAATAAAATATGACCGAAACATTAAATTGATTCAGGCATTGTCCTTTTATTGATTTGTGACCAATTTTGGACAACTAATGATAGACCTAAAACTCCAGAAATTCATGCTTAAAATAATGACAGAATTTCTGCGCCTATATTAATCTAAAAGCGATGTTCCAAACTATGTTGAAAGAGTTTAGCTTCGATTTGGTTTTGAAATATGCTCCCGTCGCCCCAGTATTCAAACATCAACCACATCAGTATTGGTGTATCAATCTTTGCAGCTCAGGTAAATTCACGCTAAAAACAATGATTAAACACAAGCTTTGCTTGTGTAATTATGACTCTGGAATAAAAAATGAGACCATATTATGAGAAATAGTGACTGCAATCGTACAAGTACCCAACTTGTATGATTGCAGTCATTATTACTCATTATATGGTTTTTTTATTATTCCAGAGTGATTATTAATCAATATTTTTAGCATTTCTTTTCCTGAACTGCAAAGATTGGTAAGCCAGTACTGTTCTGGTTGATATTTGTCCAAAGTTTCTGAAATTGGAAATTGGTAACTTCGAGAAAAAAGTTCTTCGAGAAAAAAGTTTAGACTTGTAAGACACAAAAAGAAGAAAAATTTTAACAATCTAGCAAGTCAGCATTTTGTTTTCCTTACTTTCATGCCTGGAGAACCGATGAGACCTGGAAGTCCCCGGGGTCCCGAAGCTCCTCGAAGTCCAGGATCTCCCTTCGGGCCCATTATACTTGCTCCGTCAGCACCGTTTCTTCCGGCCATTCCAGGTTGACCTTTTAAAACAAAGAGTAATCAAACGGTACATTTGGGTTAAAAAAATCTTAGTTTCTTTCTTCTACTTTCGTTTCTGTCAATTTGTGTTACATCAAACACAGAAGCCAACATCTAATTCGCAAACACAAGAAAAAACTGACAAAAGGGAACTTGCAAATGCAAAAAACGAAAAGAGCTTCCTTAAGTAAAACGATTTTGGCACATACCAGATTCGACCCGAACCCAAGAAATACAGAAAACGGCCTTCACAAATGCGCCATATCACCTTCAAATTTAGCAGACAAATGCAAACAAAAGCGATCGGAGTTTTGAAATGGAAAAAGCATACAAAAGTAAGAAGAAAAGCCATGACAAAATTATCAAATATTGTCCTCAAAAAGATCTGAAAACCGACTGTTATTAAGAACTGCCGGGCGCAATTGAGGGGACGAAGGACTTTAAATCTGGAGGTCGATTGTTCGTGTACCGTTGAGGTCAAGTTTTTACGTCGTATGTATTCACAACTGCTCCCCTGTTTTCTTCAAAACAGTGAACGTGTTTGCTTTGAGTAAGTACAATGATAGGCTAACGTACCTTTTTCTCCTTTGAATCCCAGTTCTCCCTTCACTCCTGCAATTGTAGTGGACCTATTTATTACGTCGAAACAGTTTTCGCCTTTGTTCCCTTTGGGTCCTAGGAATCCAGGGTTGCCCTTAAACCCCATCGGTCCCACTGGACCTGGTTTTCCAGCGTCTCCTTTGGGTCCAGGAAATCCTTGAGGACCTTTAAAAATTAGATGATTTGTATAACTGAAAGATTCATACACTAACTGATTCGTTCATAGGTTTTTTAAATAAATTTTTGTGATGAAAAGACGTGTGATAGGAAGTCAAATTCAGTTCTTTTTTGTTTTAGGGTTCCAAGACATTGAAATGCATTAGTATTACAGCCCAATTTTTTTAATGATTATAATCATACTAGCCATTCAACCCATTAGATCCAGGCAAACCCGCAGCTCCTTTCTGACCAGGATATCCTGAAATCACAAAAAACCTAATTCAAAACATAGGCGCTACGCGCAATACACCGAAGGCATAGAAACTGAAGCAAAAACCAAACAACTTGAACAACTAATAATTGAAGAATAACAGTTCTAGAACAAAAAATCGTACTAATACATGTATACACCAAAATTTTGCTATATCGAGAAAGAGCCTGAAATAACAGTTCTAGAACTAAAAATCGTACTAACACATGTATAGGTTAAATTTTTGATATATCAACGAAGATCATAAAATAACACTTCTAGAACTAAAAATCGTACTAACACATGTATACACCAAAATTTTACTATATTGACAAAGGGCCTGAAATAACAGTTCGTGAGCTAAAAATCGTACGAACACATGTATACACCAAAATTTTGCTATATTGGCAAAGATCATGAAATAACAGTTCGAGAGCTAAAAATCGTACTAACACATGTATACGTCAAATTTTTGCTATATTGACAAAGATCATGGAATAACAGTTCTAGAGCTAAAAATCGTACTAACACATGTATACACCAAAATTTTGCTATATTGACAAAGATCATGGAATAACAGTTCGAGAACTAAAAATGGTACTAACACATGTATACAATAAAATTTTGATATATTGACAAAGATCATGAAATAACAGTTCGAGAACTAAAAATCGTAATAACACATGTATACACTAAAATTTTGATATATTGACATAGATCATAAAATAACAGTTCGAGAACTAAAAATGGTACTAACACATGTATACGCTAAAATATTGCTATATTGACGAAGAGCCTGAAATAACAATTCTAGAGCTAAAATCGTACTAACACATGTATACACCAATATTTTGCTATATCGACAAAGAGCCTGAATAAACGTTGTAGAACTAAAAATCTTACTAACACATATATACACCAAAATTTTGCTATATTGACAAAGATCATGAAATATTGACAAAGGACCTGAAATAACAATCGTAGAACTAAATGTCGTACTTACGCATTGTAGATCAATTTCTATAGCTATAATAAAATACAAAAGATTGTGTTTGTATGTGTAGCAAAACGCCTCCTGTCGTTTCAATCGGCCAATCGTATAAATTGGCATGTAGACTCATATGGGTCTCCGGAATAACTAAAAATCGTACTTACACATATACTTACAAAAAAGAGCTAAAATGAAAAAAAGCTATTAGTCTTATTATATTGAGAAATTGTGAAGCAGTCTCAGAATTGACAGTATGTAGCAGTAAAACAATCCGAAAAACAAATCCAAAAAACAAAAAAAATACTTGCAAAGACATGACACAGATCTGAAAAATGTACCAATGTTGGTATTCATGAACAAAACTTCAATCAGGTAAAGATATCAGTTAAGTATTCCACGAAATCAAGTTCAAATTCAACCTTCAAAAACCGGCAAGTAATAAAAATGACATAAAACTTCAACGTTCAGCGTCAAACTGATTACGGAACGTCAAATTTAAACGGACGCCATTCCATTTCTCAAACGATCCATCGGGTGCAGTGGATCCTCTCAAGATGCTGTGCTTCCAGTCTTTCTGGCAAGCTCCGAGCATGGTAAAAACGCTACCATGTGGCAACAAAATAGAAACTTCAGAGCGCGTGGTCCCGTTTCTTTTCATTGCAAAGCGCCGGGTGGCTCCAAGGGATACGCTGGCAATGGTTGGATAATCAGGAATACCACGTTCGTTGTCAGCGTGAAATCCAACTCCCTAAAAATACTGATAGGCAAAGTACATTTTCTATGTTATCTAATTGTTATGACGGTATTTTGTGATATTACCTCTTCGAGGGAACAATAAATGTTGATGAGGACACTGTTGAAGGAAACTTTGAGTTCTTTCTCCAACAAGGTCTTTAACAACAACAACTGTGGTGACCAAGAGTTGTTGGGCGGGTGGCGAACGCTTCCATATGAGTATGGAACCTCTGAAATCCACTTGACAGAGCGCCCGTTGACATGTGTCCAAGATTCCTGCTTGTATGATTTGTAAAGCTCTGCAAAGAGGGAATCAGCTATGCTCAAAACAGATTTAATGCAAACGTCAAGGGAAATTTGAGAGACGCCAAACACTGAAGATGAGCTGATAGTAAACGGCTGCAAAAATAAAATTATGACATTTAAGTGCTCAGTGGAATACAACAGAAAAAAAAAAGAATAGACAAAAAGTATTTACCACGGCAGATGTCAAAAGAGTTAAGGATACTCTCTCACAAATTAATTTCGCCAAATTCAGGCAGCCCATTTGCGACAAATGAACACCATCGGTAGATAAATGTGTGTAGCGCAATAGTCCAACGGGAATAAATGACCAATCTGAAGACTTGATGGCTGTATCCAACGCGCGGATTTCACGGTAAAAGTCCTTGCGAACAATTGGACTAAAAATACAATGTAGTTTATTTTTTCTTTAAAAAAACTTCATTAAAAAAACAGCAAAACCGATACCTGATGAACAACGTACATTATTATTATAACTGAATTAGTCATTTTATGAAAATGTTACCAAAGGAGCAGAACTTCAAAGCCAGCATCGCGAAGAGGAGAAGCAAGTGACATAATCAACATAGCAAGTGTGGCCTTTGCCAAGCTCGCGAGAGAAGCATCGGTATGGGCAATGCTTGGTTGTAACACAATATCTTTTTGGCGGAGACACATGTCGTTTGCACCAACAGCAAGAATAACGCGAGCTGGTTTCAAGGCTTTTATCTCTTCGACATGAGTGTCATTGATGGTACTGACTTTCAGTCCAGATGTCACTATAACCGACGTATCGGAAAGTCTGATAAGGTATTCGTTAAATCCTTTTAACATAGAATCGCCAAACAAAACAGTGGACGTCATTTCTGAAAAAAAAATTATATCACCATCATTGTGTTATAGAAACCATTACAATAAATTTGAACTACGGAAAAAAGTACATTGCAAAAATATATTTGTGAAAACCAATATAAATAATAACATCGCTCTGCTCAGACGTGGGCTATGATAACGAACATTCGCTCAGAAATAAATGCAACAATATTACAGTAATTAAAAATTTGTCAGCGTTTATAAAATAATCAGTCTTGTTAAAAATTAATAAAAAAGGGCGCTTAACACGTACTTGGCTTTGACAGAATGGTTTGCCAACATTATTATAACAAAAAATGGCGAATATTTCTCAATAGTCAGTATTGAACGCACGTAAAACATTAATAACAATCAGATTACAACAACAGCTTCATGAACCTTCATATGCGCAGTTGGAATGTTCCCTTGTAAATTATAGATGTTTCCAGAAGAATGATTCACTTTTGTTCTCTTACGATATATTGTTGGCAAATGCATTTTGAAACAAGGGAATATCACAAATAAATATGTCTTGTAAAGATAATGTTACATCAACAGTCATGAAAGTTATAGATAGTGAGCCAAAATTCGTAACCAGTTATGCATTTCCGTTGTTGTCATCATCGCAGAGCACGAGTTAAAAATAAATATATACACAGATTAGTTAAACTAAAGAAATTGTGTACCTAATACAAGTATACACAGACCAGTTGATTGAAACTACAGTGTACCTAATACAAGTATACACAGCAGTTGAAATAGAAAAACTGTGTATCTAATACAAGTATACACAGATCAGTTGAATGAAACTACAGTGTACCTAATACAAGTATACACAGCAGTTGAAATAGAAAAACTGTGTACCTAATACAAGTATACACAGACCAGTTGATTGAAACTACAGTGTACCTAATACAAGTATACACAGATCAATTGAACTAAATAAATTGTGTACCTAATACAAGTATACACAGATCAGTTGATTGAAACTACAGTGTACCTAATACAAGTATACACAGCAGTTGAAAAAAAACTGTGTACCTAATACAAGTATACACAGACCAGTTGAACTGCTGGCAGAAAATCATACAGTGACTAGCTAAAACTTTGTAACCACCTGTTCAGAATGGCAAGGGAAGAATTGAAAATGTTTTTTTTTAAGAATTAAGGTGTAAAATTTATTGGTCGTACATTAAAACAGATTGTAAATTCTTAAAACACGTAGTCCAAAATGCTCGTACTCTTCGACGTGACCTGCATTGTCAACTGTGACCCTCTAAGAGAATGAATAAAATGCAGTAATGGTAAATTTCAAAGAAAATTATCACAAAGAACTCATCTACTGCTAGTCAATAAAAAATATAACAAGGTACATTTGAACGATTTGAGTACATTTGAGAGACATAACAAAAATTTGTCTACAACTAGACATCCAGAAAGTGTAAAGCAGTCTTAAGCGTACTACTAATAGGCGGTGTGTAAACGTGATACAACGCCTTGGGTGAACTCGAGCGTAATGGACGGGTTCTCGAGAAAGAACTCAGACAGGCTTACTTCGTTTGTGCATGGAGCGGGAAAAAGATTTAAATCTATCAGAAACCGGCGTTTGTCACTAATAACAACGTGTGCAACATCTTTTGGCGTTGGTGCCCGACTGACAAGTCCACATGCCGGATTCTTGCACTTCAGAACTTTTCCCTGCAACCGAAAATGATTTCAGTTTTTATTCAACAACGATACAATAGTTTTCAATGCAATACAAAAGCATTGTCTGAATTACACACCTTGCTAAGTTCAATGACTTCAACATTTTTGATGTTGCACGAGGAGCAGGTGTCGTGGTTCGATTGTTGGATGCCCCACGACACAACTTGGACAACTTCGGTAACACAAGAGACCGCATCATCGGCAAGTGTTTCTTTCACCTTTTCGAATTCGCCATTGGAGTCCATTGTTGGGACAATCGAAAGAGCCTGAATTGAATATCAGAAAACATATGCAAAATATATAAAAAGTTGATTTAGCAAGAACTCACGTTAACGACAGGTTCTTCGTTGAACGGTTTCACGCGACCGTCTACTGTGACAATGGTTGACGGCGTGTGGATGTCATGTATAGGGTCCCAGACATTGACAGTCACCCTTTCACC